GAATTTAGGAGGAAGGTTATGAACTAAGCTTTTTTTATACAAATATATATATATATATATATATATACATATATATATATTATATATATATATATATATATATATATATATATATATAAGATTTTTTTTTAAATAGCAATTTATTTAATACAATATTGAAACTAATTGTAGTATTTTTATATTTTTTTAGTTTATATCAAAATATCTTAAAATTATACGCATTTTAAGTACATACATGTATATATGTATGTATATAATAAAATTATTATTTACACATAACTTTGTATTAAAGTTAAAATTATATAGCAAGTGTTAGTTCAAAAAGCTTATTATTCTAAATGCTCATTAATTCATTAAATACGTAAAAGTTCAACTAGTTTCCGGTTAACCGTATTATTTAAACTACACAGAAGTACCACAAATGATATACGAATTTAAACAATTGCATGGTAGCGTAAATGCAAGTTCACCAACTGAATACAAATGCGGTGAATATTAAATACCACCGATTTTATCTGAAAGCCTGAAAATTAGTTTAAGCTCGTGTGAGAGTTGTTACTGCCAATTTGATCTTTTTACATTTTTCAACGTATGCAATATTTATATAACTTTGCATTTTATATACAATTGAATTAAATTGTTATATATGTATGAGGCCTATGGTGCCTCATCCCCCTTGTATTGAAGGGAGGCCCGTGCCCAGCAGTGGGACGTTAAATAGGGCTGAATAGATATGTATGTATGTACATATAGTTTAGTTCATTGATATTCATATAGACATGTTTTGTTCTAACAAGTTAAAAATGAATTATATTTACAAGGTATTACATATAGCATTTCTATAGATATAGATAGATTTTTATAACAAAAATAGTGTTAGAAAAGCACAAAATATTTTTCACTCAAAACTTACTAATCAAAAGCGGACCGGTCAAAAGTTCGTCATTATTCTTTCCCAATAGCTAAGCTACATAAATGTTATTAAGGTAATATAAGCGTTTTAATGTTATAGAACCCAAATCATACAAGCCATCTAGATTTTTAATATCCTACTAAGTACTAGGATTAGCGCAGACAAAAGATTTAGTTCACTGTATTCTTCTTTAATATACTCGTAGCTTGAGTTTTCAAGTGAAATTTCATTTAAAGTTATAATGAAATGTGCTCAAAGGACATTCTTAGACTTTTGGATTTTTTTGCCGGAAGTCAAACCCTTTGACTTGAAAACCCTATCCTATATTTATAAAAGTCGATAGAACCACTGAAAAAGATAACTACGATATACATCAATAACTCAGATTGGTACTTACTAGATGATAAGTGATTTAGAAGATACTTATTGAAATAATAAAGGCACATTGTAATATCAAAGTAATAAAGACGAGAGCAATTTAAAATTTAATTAATTTTGAACGCGATATTTTTCCTTCAAGCAATGAATAAAAAATGAAAGATGATAGCTCGGCATTGTTTTTCTATATAGCTTGAGGCTGATGTAATACAGCCGATTTAAAAAAATATAAATATAATTTTACAAAACATTAAGACTAAATCGGTTTTTTAACTTGGTACATACCATTGGGAGGTTTTATGTTGTATGTATTTAGCCCTTTTTTACACAGTAGTGTTGGGCACGTGTCTCCCTTCAATACAAGGGTATCAGGCCATAGTCCACCACGCTGGCCAAGTGCGTATTGGCAGACTTCACATATCTTTCAAAAACTTGCTAGGTTCTCTCAGACATGCAAGTTTCCTCACGATATTTTCCTTCACCGTAAGACAAGTGATAATCATGTTGGAAATGATTCGCATATGAAAATATCAGAGGTGTGAGACCCGGGATTAGAACTAGCTTCATTCAGTTTTCCAAGCGAGCGCACTACCACTGTGCTTATCACTGCCTGTTTAAATTTTATATTAATACAAGTGTTAAAACAATGAACAGTAGTAAATTCAAAGCGTGGGTTTGCATAGTGGTACCCCACTCATTTTCCACCGACTTAAACAGATGCTGTGTGAAAGTTCATAGCAACGTGCTTTGTCTAATAAGCCACCCGAAATAAGTTGGCTTTCTACAATTGATATTATTCATGGATAACTAATTTTTTTCCTTTACAAATAGTGGTTGTACAATTTTATGTTGATATATTTAATTGACAAACCATAGCTTTTTGGAATCGAACCTGCGAATCAAGCATTTAGTTCTAATCAATCACATTTCACCAACACATTATCACAGTATAGTTAAATAGGAGCGGCTCACTTTCACTTTACCCAAATACGTCCCTAGGTACTTAACAGTAGCTTATGTGTTACTCCGTGTCAAGGTCTATCTTTTAATTTTATCTGAATTCGTCTTGTCGTTAAGTGTGAAGGATTAGTAGGATATTAGTAGGATAGTAAATATACACATACACACACACACACATACACACACACAAACACACACACACGCGTACACGTACGCACACACACACGTACGCACGCTTTCACGAACGCACTTACTCACGCACGCACTCACGCACGCACGCACACACGCATACATTGTATATAAAAACTTTCGCATATACAATAGTAGATATAGGTAGTAGATATATAGGTATCTGTGACTTTAAAAAAATATATGTATAATCTTAAGCCTACTCTGCTCACAGTAAGTGAATATTCTAAATGTTTCATTTGCTGTGGCCAGATGCCACCAGCATCAGGAGAAATATTATCTGCAATTTGGAAGGGCCTTTTTCTTTTCACTTACCGAGATCTCTACGAGAGTAATTTAGACATATCTATGCCAGCGAGACAGTTGGGCAATTCGTTTTAAATGTAATAATCAACCTTAGTATTTTAATATACGTTATAAGTCGCTACGTTTACGTTTGGCTCAGTTTGTAGTAACCCTACTTGCTGTGCCAGTATCGCGGGTTCGAGTCCCGCTAGGGGCATTCATTTGTGTGATGAGCACAAATGTTTGTACTCTAGTCATGGGTGCTTATATTTATAATATGTATGTATTTAAAGTTATATATGTGTAGTGTATCAACTATCTGGTATCCATAACACAGGCCTCGTAGCTTACCATGGAGCTAGATGGTGCTGTGCGTTAATATCCAAACATATTTAAAAAAAATATTAAAAAGTCGCAAATATTTCTGTCCTTCTTATACTTTTAAATTCAATTCGTCGATTATTAAAAACTAAATACTTCGTCTTTAAAGGAATCTATCCTTACAATCTATACTAATATTATAAAGAAGCAGAGTCTGTGTGTTTGTTTGAATGCGCTAATCTCAGGAACTACTAATCCGATTTGATTTTTTTTTGTATTAGATAACCCGTTTTTTGAGGAAGGCTATAGGCAATATATTATCATCCTGGAAAAATGTACGGTTTCCGTGGGATAGATTCGTTTTTATCTAAGCAAAGCGTGGGTGAGTCGCTAGTAGTCGATAAAGTAACTCAACGGCCATTATTTTCCATCTTCAATTAAAGTTATTATGATTCCAATTAGTAAAAGAACTTTCAGAATCAAATCAGTAGTTTCACAGATTACTCTACAAAAAACTATAAACTTTAGCTCTTTATAATATTAGTATGGATGTACATTAGTGTGTATAATATTCCATTTAACATTTTTCTTTTTAATAATTATTTCTATAATTTTACGTTCAGTTAAATATAGGCAATAATCCATACTAAATAGCTCTACTGTAGCCCTTCTTGTATTTGCTTGTAATAAATATTTGGATTACAGAAATTTTATTTCGCCATAGTATGAAAATGCAAATTATAGGTTACATATTATTTGGATCTCTTTTTTTAGGTCTAATTTAAGCTAATAATTATAAAAAATAACAAAGAATTCATATATGGCTTATATAAAAGTTATACTGAATTATATGTATACTCTAGTACTAAACAAGAGAGCCCCAGCGTCCATAAATATAACCAACAAAGGTGAAACGTGTTCAAGCGACACAAAATTCATTTTCAATTCAAAATTCACAAAAACAAGGCTAAAACCTGTCTGTGTTTTCCGATTCCCAATTTTTTCATTTCTTTTTAAGAATGTAGCCTTGTTTTTAAAAATGCTATTGGTAAAAGCGAGTGCTGTAACCCTTAGGAAATATGAAAATTCCAAAACGTATACGAAAATTGCATTTCAAATAGGCTTAATCACATACATACACTGTACGCTATTTGATTTATTTAGTGATTTAATAAATATAACTTTTAATGTATTTATAAAAATTAACGATATATTCAATATAAGAATCATGTTTCTCAAGAGTCTGAAGATCCTGTGAGCATTTAGTGTCTTATTATATTTTAATAATATTATAAATGTGAAAGTTTAGATGTTTGGATGGATGTTTGTTACTCAAACACGCCAGAACTGCTGAATGGATCTGGGTGAAATTTGCCACAAAGATAGATTATAGTCTGAAATAGCACATAGGCTACTTTTTATCTCGGAAAAATCTACGGGTCTCGTAGGATAGATTTGTTTTTGTTTTCAGAGGCGAACCCGAGTGAAGCTAGGGTGACCACTAATTCCTATATATATGTATGTATTCCCAACAAAAATCGAAGACAATAGAATACGTACATATATTGAAAAATTATTAGTACTTAAACTCCTTGCCCAGTTTTTATATTTTCTTATAACATATTTTTTTATTATTCCTTTGTTATCGAATTCACTTAAAACAATGAATAGAAAGCAGAAAATTCATATTTCCACTTAAGCTTAAAAGCTTTCTGAACAAAAAATAGGAATATGTAAACAAGAACTAACTTAAACTACAATCAAAAAAAGTATAATCATCACAATAAGCTTGAAAGTCTAATAAGCATTAAAGCTCGCAAACTCTTTACTAAGCTAACATAATATTTAAATATAATTTTTTTTCGAGGAATAGGTTAAAAATGACTATTGTGAAAGGCAAAGCTAATCAAGGAATCAATTTGTCCGTCAATATGAGCTACTTTACCTGTAACAGGTACGGGAGGCAGGGCGGGCGGGCAGTGCAACCGCTGCCTCCGCGCGAATCGGACGCGCGTGTTTTGTGCCCATTCTGATACTGTGTTGTTCTATGCCGTTCAGTTCAATTATTTCATTTGTAAAGGATTTTTTAAGGTATGTATTATTTATTTTATTTATTTTATAGTATAAATAAAATTTAGAAATAATATTTATATATGTACAATGTACATATATGTAAAATGTGTATGAGTTAATTTATTATATATTAAACCGATAGGATAAAAATCATGATTATATTTGACTGAAAGTCAATTTTTATTAAATTTCTTCAACATGTTGTATTGTAATAAAATAATTAGGTACCGCTAGCGGCTCGGGCTGACGTGGATTTTACTTGTTGCACATTTTCATGATCGCTTCATTTATTTTAAGCAAAACGTATTCGTATTTAATGAGGGTTTAAATTAAAGCAAAGTTCATGTAATTACTAATTAACAGAATTATTTATATTTGGATGCCTTTTTTATGTAAAAGTACATATAATATTTTTTGGCTTTTATATAAATATATATTAAAATCTATATGTACATAAAATATAGAATCAAGATTTACCTTGTGTTTTGTTAGCAACAAATTCTTTCTTTGTTTGTTAGCTTTTTTGTTAGCAAAAAAAGCTTTCATTATTATCCACACGGTTTCGTAGCATTACATTTAACACGTTTTATATTTCCTATGTAATTATTTTATTAGTTGATTCATAAATATTATAGTACAGTGATCCATAAATGCTTAAACTATATTTGCATGTAAAAGGTAGGCGACGCGTCCATTTAAAAACGGCTAATATTTATTTAGTCTTTCACTCACGTAGCTAAAACAATTTTGTTCCAAGCTGAATTTACTTTTATGTCAAAAAACTGTGTTTTTAATACGATAAAGACATTTATTTTTATTATACTTGGACATAACTCCACATGATGGTATAAAACTATAATTATATATAATTTTTCATATTTAGATCTTTTAGACATGAATAACTCGGATCCAAAATGAAACTTCTGGAAAATTCTTTTGCTTCTTTATTTGACTTCTAATTAAGGTCTGCACAATCTAATTATTTGTAGGGCACAATAAAAAAATACAAGACGAATAAGAAATCAAGAACTTTCAATTCATACGGTGCGGCTTTTATCGAGTTCTATAGAAATAAGGTTGGGGAAAACCTATTGTTAGATTTAATTAAATAATACAGAGATACAAAAGTAATATGTACTATATATCAAAAGATGAACTTACAATATATATTAAAATAGATTATATTATATATATATCAGAAACCGAAAGTTAAAGACTAGACGGTACAAGTTGGACAAAGGGTTGTAGAGAAATTCTAATCCGGGTTTGGCTTCAACCCAAAACTAACTTAAGATTAGATATGGTCATGGTGGTCTGAATCTTACTTTACATTTTATTTCTTACTTAATAAAAGAAATATATGAAATAACTAATAACAAAAAAGCTTTTTTCTATTCATTCATTATTTAAATCAAGTACCAGTATAGAAATATGTCTACCAAATAATAAAAAAAATCTCACTACATATTACTGGTAACAGTAGTCTATGTGTTACACTAGGTCTTGTCTATCTAAGTAATAAATGTCACCTAAATCCGTCCAGCTTTTTCAGCATGAAAGTGATAAACATACACACTTATAAACTTTGTCATTTACAATGTTTAGATTATTTAATACTTTCTTAGATTTACACGGATCTTTGACATTTTAAATAAAACTATCTTTTCAGATTTTTTCGCAGATTTATCTTAATTTTTGATTCTTGATGTAGCGAATGCTTTACAGCAATCATGGTCACGGGAGAGACTAAGGTTTTAGACGTCTCCTGGGTCATTATATACTAGGTACAAAATTAAAAAATGATTTCAAAAAATCAAAATAGTTAAAATTTAAAAAAAAATAAGTTTTACGTTTTACGCAATAAAAGAGATAAGAGTCGATGTTTTTTTTTTCATATGGTTAATTTTTAGGCTCGAGTGAGATTTACGCTTTTTAACACGATAAGTTACGTGCTTTCCGTCGGATAAGAGTTTCTTTCAAATGCTACTGCAATTTATCAATAATAAAGAAATTTGTATGTTAAAAGTTTCTAGCATTTCGATTCGATAGGTCACAGGTTTTTATTATGTACCATTTCTATGGGGTATCATGGTTAAATGAGTGACCTCCGTAATCCCATTGAGACGGGGACAGTCCTATTGGGTTTTAGTGAGTAGTACTGGTTTTTCTAGCTGATTAGCCACTATATTACCACCAGTATATAAACAGGTGGAATACACACATGCATTTCCAAAAATTAAAAAAAGGAATTTTTCTGCAAAAAGTATGAAATGATAGTCCCATTAAAAGTATCTCGTGAAAATACGTACGAGCCAGTGCTCGTGATATATTCATAGTACCACATTGTTAGTGCCACATTTTTGGCTAGGCTAAAAAACAAACGACCAATCAAGACTTAAACTTTTATCATAAGCTTTTAAGTATCTTCTAGAGTAAAAGTTCTTGTATATTTTTACAAGATTAAAGTCATTTTAGAGCTTGAACAAGAATCAATCTATATTATTCATACAATTATATGTCTATAACAGCTCATTTAATATGCCTAGCGGCTACGATGTTAGGTTCATTTGCCTCAGTTACAATTAAACTAATTATCATCATTTACAGTAATGTAAATAATATGTTTTAATATTTCTTCGTCCACAGAATTTCTAATGTTCGTAAATTTCTTAAACGTTACGTTCTTCTTTAATAACAATACCTTAATCTTTGAAAATGCCATTATTATTATTAGTACTAATAAGTATTTATAAATAAATATATCTTATATCTTTAAATGAGCAATTCTTGTATATTTATTTATACCGGCGATCTCGGAAACGACTCTAACGATTTTGCTGAAATTTGATGTGTGGGAGTTTTCGGGGGCGAAAAATTCGATCTAGATTAGTCTTATGTCTGGGAAAATGCGTGTTTTAGAGTTTTCATGCGGTTTTCTTTCGCATTATTCCACGCAAAGTATGGTCGCTAATTTCGCATGCTCGGGCATAGGCATCGTGGTCAAGCGGCTAAGGCGCAAGATTGACAATCACAGGGGTCCAGGTTCGAATCCCGGTTGGATACGAAATTTTAACTTTTGCTTTTTTTGTATTTATTCAAGTTTGTTGTTTTTTTCTGTTTTTAAGCCAAATTAAAAAAAATGATACTTATAACAAAAAACTCCGGTCGCCCAGGTACTTTATTACTTATTTAATTTGACAATAAAAGATAAATTCATTTTTTTATATTAAATAATGGCTTTTTTTAAGATTGTCAAATTAATATCTTTATTTTTAAATACCTAATAGTATTAATAATTATCAGAACAAACATAAAAATGTTTAAAGTTTATTAAAAAACCATCTTTTAACTAACTGAAATATATTGGACTCGGTATTGAAGATTTCTATTGGCCATTAGCTCCATCATCAGATTAGCTCGATGGTATCCGGATTTTACAGACAACCAAATTCCAAAACTTGATTACATTCCACTCAATCGTACTGCCTTTTTTCGACTACTCCTTTAGGGAAAATAACCCTAAGTTATGTTTTGACTTTTTATAAATACAGCTTGATGGTTTTACAAGTTATTTATTTATACTGAGAATTATAACAAGTGCACAACCGTGTTTATACCAGCAGGACCGTCATTACCGCGGTTATCGTTGTTACTTGTGCTTCTTCCTTTTCTACATAAGCAAAAATATATATCTCTGTAAATTTTAAATGTTACACATAAGTTTTTTGCACGGAAAATACATATGCCGAGTGATTAGTTGAAGTTCGAAGTTAAGAAGGATCGAGAAAACTAAGAACAAGTAAAGTAATCTGGAGTGAAGTGATAGTGCGAGTGATATTAGTGATAAAATGTTGTAATTCATTAAGTCGATACTGTGCAGGTAGCACGAGTGTATGTGAACTACCAAAAGTGACTCAGTGAAGTGTTTGAAAAAGAATTAAACTATCTATAGTTCAAGAGAACTGCTTTAATTTTCGATACCTGAACCGTACATAGCAAGAATATAAACTTAATCATATGCATTTAAGAACTATAAGGAAATATTTTACTTTTAGTAGCGAACACTGTTCACTTACAGCTACAGGAAGTCGCTAGCTATCGAATAGAAATAATTGAGATACATTTAAAATTTATTAGCATTGGGCCTTTAATCAATGATGCACAAAACACGGTAATGCATTTATTAGTAATGAAGTCTAAAGCCAAGAATTTACTTATACCACGATTAGATATGATTTTATCTATTGTAAAGAGCTATTTGTTGGCAGTCGAGGTAATTGGCTCACGAACCGCTAGTTCAGGACGAAGTAAGGCATCGAAAGTTGCCTTTTTGGAATGAATGCTTAAAAATTTACATCTGTCACTGTGTGTTATTTACGGTCTTAGCAAATAAAACTCTACGATATAGTGAGTAATAACGAAGGAGAATAAAAGCGAGTGATTATAAGCAAAAGCTATTTTACTAATAAACTTATTTTTTATCGTAGCTTTACGCGCTTTTTTTGTATTTCACGTGTACCTACTTATTGTAGTGTATTATAACATATTTCATTCTTTCAAATTCTCGTAAACCCACAAAGTCGAAACAAACAAACGAACATACAAAACGAAAAAATATGGTTTTAACTTTATTAAATTTTACTTATACGCCTTATTTATACGTACAAATACTGTTGTGATACATAGTAACTGACAATCTTTATTTTCTCTATACGTATATTCAGTGATCTAAATATGATGAGTTTGTGGGTTAAACAAAATATTACTTGTAGCACTCTGGTCTTTATACTGGATTTATCCTCCAAACAGTCGAACAAGGTTTCCAGGTCAAGAGTGGATATGTATCCACTTGGGGCACGTGTTTAGAATGCAGCGTAACAATGATGATTGGTGTAAGTGAAAATTATTTTTGTGTCGATTCAATATTCGCATACTATGTTCTAGAAAATATATGGAATACTGTATAAACTATATCTTTGGATCTTTTTTAACCAACTTCCAAAAAGGAGGAGGTTCTT